TTTTTTTTGTAGGCATTCTATGTAAATTGTTACTAGGTGTGATGTGGTAAACATAAACCCCATAATAATAAACCATCCCATTTTCTATAAAAAAGCTTGAGGATAATGAGAATACAAAATCATTGTATGTTTTCCTATGGATCCCAGAAAAACAATGATAATCTTTGGATCCTGAACAGAAAGACAACAGTAATGATATTTTGAAAAGTCTATCAAATATGTTATACATTATTGAATACCTTATATCAATACCTCAAATTTACTGATCTCTTGACAGTCTGTCCAATATAGCTACAGAGAAACTACTAATCCAGTATGTAATTGAAATTAAAATACTTCATTCTTCATCTGCATTTTTTTTTTCTAGGCAAAAGTTAAAACTGGACATATTCATGGATTTTTTTTTTCCACACTTTTCATAAGCAGGGAAGTATATTCCAGACAACTTTACAATATTATTCAAATGAATTTTAATTCAGAAGTGAAAATAGGGAATCCTGTACAGCGTCTGTCAGAATGCAAGATGCATTTAATGAAAATTTATAATAACAGGACTTAGTTTAATTTACAACACATGGGAGGTTTAGGTTAACTCAACTTCAGAATTTAAGGTGTATAAGAGACAGATATATATATATATATATATATATATATGAACGATGTTTTAGCAACTTGATATATTTTATGGGCCCCAAAACTTTTCTGAGCATTATAAAAGAATGTAGCATTCAACAGGATCAGTTCTACTTCTGCAGTTATGACAGTTAAACCTTCTTTATTCCAACTGCAATGACATAATACTTATTTCTATTTCAGTTAATGGCAAAATCTTGATACACTAGTATTTAAATTCTAGGATACTAATTTACAAAGTTTTTTAAAGTTCTACTTCTAAATTATAACATTTACAGATAAAAGTATCTGTCAGTAAAGTTTCAGGTTGTGTCATCTGCAAGTTGGTATCACTTCTTTTGCTTTGGAATAAAATAGACTTTTGAAGCTTAATAATGCAGTAAGTGGCAACACATAAAATATTGTTTCAAAATAAACAAAAGTACTAAAAACTTTCTTAAACTAATCAGAACTACTTTGTTGACCCACAGATATTGCTATAACCATTTGGACTTTTACACAAATATCACAAATAAGTAGGTTGAATTCACAAAACTTTCAAACATCTCAGTGTTTGTGTTCTTATTTTTTCCTCAGGGCCATGAAATGTGACACCTGGTATTCTTACGGTATTTCCATTATTCAGATATTAAAATATTGCAAACAAAATCAGAAGTGGGTCCTAGATGCCTAAGTGAAAGCTTGTGAAAAATCTTTAACACACATACATGTGTAACTGAAATCTGAGAGTACTTTCCCTTTGCAAAGACCAAACAGGAACTCCAGATTTGCTAAGGGCTCGAAATAAAACTGCAGAAATAGAAGCTAATTCCAGTATCAGTTCCAGCAAAAAGAAAAATGGTAATCTAATAGGTTAACTGGTGAGATTGCTAAATAATGATTACTCCTGTTTAGGGGGTATCTGTTTTCACATGAATTATACAAAAATTAAGGCTGAAAATGAAATCTAAAGTCATCAAGTTCATTCCCATGCTCTGAGGCAGTACCAGTATGTCTAAGCTACCTGCTTTTAAAAATTGCCAAAGACGTTCTTGGTGCAAATGTTCTGGTCCTCCAAGAAAGTAAGTTCTTAATATGTTGTCTATACTTCTGATAGAAAATAAACTGATTACCTCTTATTCCAGACTTTGTGAACAAGATTGGAGTCTAGAGTGTAGACCCATTTCCCATGTGAAGAGATCGCTATCACTCACCTCCTCCTTGCCTTTGCTAAGCCAAAAAAACAAAATTCTTTTCTCACAGGTAATACTCCTTAGCATGTGTTGCCAGGATTTTATTCACTTCGTGACATCTTTATATATTTCTTAAAGATGATCAAAATATTCCAGTTCCTCAGTGTCAGTACATTGAGATTATCTTCCTTTGTTCACAAGGCTCAAAATATTTGCCTCTTTTTGTACTGTACTAGTGACTAATATTTATTTTGTGATCCAATATAATTTTTCTGTCGTATTGTTTTTGGCAGTTATTCCTTAGTTTCTTTCTCTGCAATTTATTTTTCCTTCTTATGTACAACTATGTTGCATTTTATTTCTTAATTTTCTTGATTTTGAATTCTTTCAACAATTTTTCAGTGTAATTTTGAATGGTAATACGACCATTCTCAGGAGTTTGCAGTCATCCAGAAGTAACAGTTGGCTGAATTGTACATGCTGTTCTGATAGTGTAAAAGCACAATTTGGCTTACTAGTGTATTTTTTATTTTATCAAATTATTAGTTCATGGAAATTGGAATAGACTAAACACAGGACTATCCCATTTGGGATGCCTCCTGATATTTCCTCCTGGATCAAAAATTCAAGTTTAATGACAAGTTCAGTGTCAATCAGTTGAATACCCACTTTATAATTTTATTCAGATGTTGTTTTACCGAATTGTATTTGATTTTTAATTTTTTTTCCTGCTCATCAAGTTAATTTAATATTTAAATTCTTCCCTACATATCACTTGTAATTTTCCTAGGTTGGCATTTAATCAACATTCTCTACATTGAAGTTATTAATTAAAATATTAAGTATCATAAACTCTTGACAGACTCTTCTGCAATCCCACTTGACATCTTGGAGGCGAACCACTGAGAACAATCTTGGCCTTTAGCTGAAGAGATAAGATTCAACCAAGACTTTGACCATTCTTGCTAGTACTGTCAAAAGTGGCTGATCCAAGCATAAAAACTAGAAAAGAATTACCAGTGAGTAACAGCAGCAAGTAAATTCTGATAGCGAGGATTAAAAAGTACATGTTTTGGGGCAGAGATATCTAGGAACTCAGACAAATGTTTTGCAAAGCTAAGCCTGGGAATAGAAAGCCTGAGGAAAAAATAATGCAATTCTTTTGTTGGACAGGCAGACTTTTAGGACATTGCATCAGGCACATACATTTTCTGTGTCTCATAGTGCTTCCTGCTTGAAAGGTTATGCACATGGTGTTGGTGTATTTAATTATTCTCCAGATTCCATTTACAGACAGAATTCCTTTCTGCTGCCCTATCAGGATTCAAGAAAATTTCTGATCAAACCTCCAAGCCAAACAAGACCATACTTTTCCATGTGAAAAAGAAACTTTCTAGAATAAACCCAAATCCGAATCAGAAGTACAAAAACTTCATCTTGCTTTTACTGCCCCATTAATTCAGATAGCTGCACTCAGACAGGAGAGTAAGGGGGGAACGTTTCCTTCTGCCACTGTTACTTGCTGTCCGAAGTTGGTTGCTGTTGTGAAATATCCATGCTCTACATATTACAAATTTCTTTGATAAACTGATACAACAGTATCCTGGAATGCTGAATATTACTAAGCTTCGAATTACTGCAGGTTTCTGTTCCTAATGCACAAAGAAAATTAAGAGATTTTGAGTAACAGTTTGTGAGGTGTGTGCTTGTTGAACAATTACTCCCTACCACATATACTACTGAAAAATTTATCATTACTTTTTCAGAACAGACTTTGTATATCAGCCATCTGCCCCTGACTTTAGCCATCAGCTACTATTGAAGCATGGTTTCATCTTTCACTAAAGGATTAGCCCATGCCATTCTCATCTGATATAGTCTTGCTTATCCATATATTTAACACCTTATTTTTAAATGTCTCTTTCCCGGTTATAACACGGAGATTATTATTCTCAGAGGTGATGAGGAGATGATCTCTACAAGTATGAGGGGAGCATTCTATTAAATTTTCCAATAAGCTCTGAAAGGGATATAAACTGTCTTTGTTGTGGGTGCAGTTGAATCCTTTCTGTTCTCTTCTTTCGCCAGGAAGATATGAGTGGCTGGAGTGTTTGATTCTATATATAACTAGTTGATGTCAGCTGGATGCCAATCCCTTTGAAGAGGATCAGCCCCCAGTTTGTCTCGGTACTAGGTACCATGCAGATCCAAGCACAAGGGTAGAAACCATCCTGGACCAGGCAGGTCATCCCCATACCTAACTAACTCCTGAAGCTTCAACTAAAGGGTTGAGATCGCTTTTTTTCTGCACAACAAAACAGTAGGGTAAGTATATTGTTTCCTGAAATATTTTGACATTGTCTGTCCTACAAACTGTCATATAAAAGACATGTATGTAACCTCTTGACTCTGCAATTAAAAATACGTTTATTTTTTTTTACTTAGTCAGAAATGCACTTTCTTTAAAGATGCCAGAGAGTCTCATTTAGTTCCTCAAATTCTTTATTAAAGAAATGTCAAGATGTAACATTTCTGAAATCATGAACCAAGATGTAATTAAAACATTAGCTATGAATTTACATCTTTTAATATAATGTGTAGATGTGAGAAGGCCTAGACAACTGACACTGATTTTGCTACAGAATTTATGTAGCCAACTCAAAGTCCATTCCTTTGAATCTTCTATCCATCAGAACATGTCCTAGCATCTGTCTGCAAGCAAGAACTGCCAGTGCATTTTGCATAACTAAAAGTGCAGTATTTCTAAATCAGAAATAACAAAATTCACTCTTCAGCCATTATAAACAGGCTACTAGAAATTAAAGTTGGCTGAATTGTGCGAGCTGGCTAAACAATGTAAAAATGTGTTGTTTTTTTTCAGCAAGGAAAAATCGTGTCAGAAAATCACAATGTTATCACATTCTGCCATGGTCAAAGAGAGGAAACAACAAGCATCAGCCATTATGGATGAAATACACAGAAATGGTATAGCGTTGAACCCAGCTTACTGTATATGCAATGTCCTCTAGCCCTCCCTAATATATTTTTTTAATTGAGTTTAACTCTCTTACAGCTTTGTCTCTGGGTGTTTTGCCATAAATAATCTGGTGGGAGTATCATGCCTATGGTAACTAATCCTTTTGTAGTTGCCTCTTTTCATTTGAAAGCTATTTTCAGATGAACAACTGCTGTGGAGGAATGAAGTAATCTAACAGCTGATGTACATTCTGCTAGGATAGCCTTTCAGAATATTATTTGGGGTTAATAACATGACTTCATTCCATTTTAAAAGGCTATCATCTAAGAAACATGCTGATCTGTATCCTCTTTTTTTTGCTCTGTTTCATTCTGCTTTTTTACACGAATGATAAAAAATTTTGAAAAAAAGGTTTACATCTCTGTTCCTTCCTCTCAAACTTTATCTTTGTAACTAACAAGTTTTACTAGCATTTGGCAATTCTCTCTAATGTACAGTCATCGATTAACCTTATACAAAGAAATTTTACTTTTCTGTTGTGGCACCAATGAAAATGCAGACACTTGTAAGAAGTTAGTTTGATTTTTCTAAAACAGGTTCTTAAAATTATGCTTTTAGTGTGACACCTTAAGAAGCAATTAACTCCCTTGGGAATACAAATCTGATTGGTTTTCATTAGGTATGTGCTGGATTCTTTTGGAGATCCTTTCAATCCTCCCCATGAAGATTTTTTGCCATCCACATAAAAGATCAATTTTTTACAAGTGATAAACACCCCATAAGCCTCGCTAAAAATCCAGGGAGCTCCATTAATATTTAGAATTCGTGGAAATTGTACCACCCACACAGGATAAAACACTGAACATCAAATTCTAGTATTGAAAATCTTTCTTGTGGGCTTTTGCTCCAAAGAATTTGGGGGTGGTTTCTGTACTCACTCACTGACCATTGTGATTGCACGAAGAATAGGACAAGAGACATAAGATTTTTAGAAAAAGAAGTTACAAGTTTCAGTGTCTGATCCTAGTCCTTCTGATATTCCCATAGTTTTTTTTCTGCAATTTCTATTCCTAAGCAAATACCTCTTTCCTATCCCCACTGAACACACATCTAAGTCTGAAAGGCAGTCTGCCCTTACAGATTTCATTACAATTCCTTTTTTTTTTTTTTTTTTAATGCTATAAACTCAAGTACTATATGTGTCTGAAACAGCCTGTAAACTCTTCAGGGGAAAAAAAAAATGTATTTCACATGTTTGTTTGGAATCAGGCATTTCACATGGTAAATGTTGCTGGTCTTCATAGCAATACTAATAAATCTACAGTCCTTGAAATCATTGGTGTTATTGGATAATCTGTGCTGATGCTTGGCATTTGCCTCACATAATCTGTCCTTTTTATTATTTATGTATTATCAGATTTGCTGTCAAGTTTAGATTCATACACATAGATATGACATCTTATCCTACGAGATAAGCTCTGATATGTGGCCACTGAAGGCAATATTAACTCTTTAAGTGTACATTCTACTTCTGCATCTTCTTTGGATGCCTGGGATATTTAAATGTTAAAAAAATATTAAATTCCATTAAATGGGTATGATAAGAGTCTGAAATTTGTAACTGTACAAACTCAGTGAACACAGTTACGAAACAGAAGGATAACCAAAGCCGTAATCACACAAAGTATATGCTAGTTCTCTGGGACGAAATCTGAAAAATTCTTGAAAAAATCAAGGAGAAATCTGTTTTTTAAATGGCTATATTTAGCTCTATTAATTGTTGATATTTTATTTTTCCCCTAATTGTTAATTCAACAAGTTTAACCTGAGATCTGGAAGGTGAACTGCTGTCTTTCTCGGTTTTGCATCGCTATTAGTAATGATGGTGCTGCACCTGGTAATTATGTAAAAATAAAATGTACTGTTTCAGCCAGTCTCACTGTTAATAGAGGTAACAGTAATATAATAGAAGATTCTGTAATGCAAGCCCAGTTGCTTGGAATGACACGCAGAAAGCGCACCTACTGCATTTTTATTTCACCCCTTTTTTATTATAATGCTTTCAGGTAAACAGTGAATCTCAAATTCCTTGTTAAAAGATAGCAGAAACAGTTATTGGTAAGATACAAAATCAGCCTCTCTCTCAAAAATCACCAATGTCTGTCCAAGACTGGTAATGACTGAAAGCCCACATCTCCTGTTGGCTTGTGGGACATGACTTTGACTTTTGACTTTTTGAGAAAAGTTTGACACATCATAAAATGCTGCGGGAATAGACACTAACTGTAAATCCTCGTATGGTGTCAGAGGAGAGATTGTAGTAGCAGATCAGCACGTGGATATAGAGGCCCTCCCAGTCCCTTGGTTTTCCACTGGCAGACTTGCACTTGTCATAACATTTCTAAGGCTACTTGGTAGAGATAAATGTGTGTAAATACATATGTTTACAGAAACCCTTGGAATTCATCAGGTTAGCCTTCAGTTATGTCTCATGCCCAGTTCTATACTACTTCTTAAGAAGTAGTATACTACTTCTTAAGAACTCTTAGAAGTTCTTAAGATTAACTTTCATGATATAGTTAAAAAAATCTTATTTCTGATATTACAACAAACATACTATCTAATATTCATATTAAAAATTATAATCCAGATTAAAGTATTTAGAAGATTGTAAACTGGAGGATTAATGGGGGATTAGGCAGTGAATGCAGGAGGAACTATATAAATCATATTTAAATACAGTCTGTTATTATTTTAAGCACAGGACAGGAAGGACTTGGCAGGAACAAATTAAGAAATGAAGCTAAAAGGTTAAGATTAGGATTAAACTATGAATTAAACTTCAGTATTAATTTAAAATGTCCATTTATGACATTGATGTTATCTATCATCCTCTAAATGTCCTCCCTTTCTCATTTTTCATCACCTTTTCTGCACTGACGCTGACACAATCCCTAGACACATCATAAACCTAGACAGATGATTAGATTTTAGTTGGCGAGGGATTCAAATGAACTTCACACTTATGTTTTTGGGACGCTGCCTGGATACACAATGGTACACAACTGTGGGGTACAAAGTACCTTGGAGCCTTCAGTTAACATTAACAAGAACAGTACGTATGTAAGGGAACAGCAAGGCCTAAAATAGATAATATCCAGCATGTCCCAGAAGAATACTAAGTGGTCTGGACAGAGATCTGCAATCACCTTGGCACCCCCGGCTCTGAGGAGGTACATACTACCCACCCTCTTTACAAAGAAGAAAGATTTTTCTACATGAAAATGTTGCTGACTGGAGGGGCAAATTTCTTACTCCTTACTAATATAAAACCATCCAACAGTCCATACCCCTGTAGTAATCTTGAGAAATGATAAAACCAAAATATGACCTGTGAGTCTAAATTTCAGGCCACAGGCCAGTAACCAGTGCACTTAACCAGAGAGCCAAAAAACCACCACTATCTGTCACTGATACAGCTACATTGGGCAAGCTGTCATTTTCTTCCATGTTAAGAACTCCCTGTTTTGTAGTTACCTCTTCAATGACAGGAGATTGTTAGGATTCTATTCACATATTATTTTTAAAGCAGAAGTGTGTGGCTCACCATACAGTTAGCTTGCTCTTGCTCCAGTTAAATCTATTGCAAACATTCAGTTAAAATCTGTATGAACAGAAGTGGTAAACAGTGATGCACTCCAGGGCCCACACACTTGTTTTATTTATTACATGGAAAACTCTTTTCTATACAGCTTCAGCTAAATATTTAACATACCTGCATCAATTGACTTTTCCTAAATGTCAGCAAATCACATTGTATTTCCAATATACAGTTACTAGAAGACATATGCCATGTTGAACATGCCATTTACTCAAAATGAAATTCTGCATATGCAATATTAACTTTGACATTAGGTACCTTCTGCAGTTAATTAATTTGTAACCTTAATTTTAAACTGGGCTTCCTTGTGTGCTTACTCTGGAAGCATGATACAGTGTTTTACATATAATTTGCTTTCATTTTTTTAAATGCATGAAAATATATGTCAAAGTTCAGAATTTTAAATCCTGTAGACCATAAGAATACATGTAGAATGTCTTATTAAATAACAGAATGTGACTGAATAAGTAGATCAACGAAGCATTCTAGACCATTCATATAATCCTCAAAGCACACTGCATCTTCCTATTTTCTTTCTGAAGTTTATGAACTGAGAAGAATTTCAGTAAAATGATAAATATTAAAGTGGTAATAGGAATCATTATCTTTAAAGTTCTGTTTTTAATGATATGATCCAATTATGTTACATTTGTTAAAATCTACAACCTTCTAAGCATAAACAAATTAGTAGAAAATAGTTTGTTCAGTGCTGAAGTGACTGTATTCTAAGGTTTAAACTTTATCTATAGATTGAGGATGTCTAGTGAGGGAGTTCAGCCATTAAGCAACAGCTTGCTCATTGCCACCACCATCCCAGTTTCCAGAATATTACCATGAAGATGACCAGCAAAATTTCTGATATTCAGATATCTCCATTTACGGTCCCAATTGATCTCCCCTGACCCTGCTTAAGCATTTCATTTCCAAATCCCCCAGGAGGTCACTAAAGACAAAGAAGGAACTTCTCCCAGGTGGTGAATAAAGAATGTTGCATCTAGTAATTTAGTTCCCTCTCAGAATTCAAAAGAAAATGTTCTAATGTTCTAAACATACCAGTTCCTTGAAGTATGTTGTAATTCTTTGTTAGGGCTCTCATTTTCAACACCTTGAGCTTTATTTTGAAAGCTTCTTTAATAGTTTAAAAATACTTCTCAACTGAGACTCTCTAATGCAAACTTTTCTTAAAATTACAAAACACGCCCCAGATTTCAAAAGCAAGCAGGATATTAAAGAATAATTGAAAAGAAAATGTTTATAAGCATTGAGAAGCTGGTAGTTATGTTTAAAAGGGGTTGCCTGCTCATCTATCCAATGCAGGACACAGAAATTTAACTGAAGGTTTGATGTGGGAACCCTGGGGTCAGATGGAACTTTGTTCCTGGTTTCAGCAGAAGCCATTTTTTACTAGTCTGCTATTCAGATAGTGTGCAGGGACTTCATAGACCTGATTTTGATAACAGCTGAATGTCATTCAACTGAAGTAAATTTGGAGCTTGAGGTACTTAGCACTGTCGAAAAAAACAGGTCTGTGGTGTTCAATACTCTGCTCCAAAATTTCGGAAGAATGATTAATTTCACTAACACCATATGAAGATATGCTGTGTGTTAGATAAGTGTGCGTTAATATGTTGCTGGATTTCAGGTGCAGAGTATGCTATATTAGACATTTAAGAAAAACAGAGGTATGTATTTATCCATTGTATTGCAGTCTCACCCAGCTTAAACCTCGGAAAAAAGGTCAGCACCCCCAGAGATATCATGGTAGAGGAGCTGTCGACACTCAGCAACAGAGGTGCAAGACTCTTCAAGAGACGTCAGCGGAGATCTGACAAATACACATATGAAAATTATCATTATGTAGCAAACAAGCCAAGAAATGTGAGTATTTTGTAATAACTTATTCATGAAACACAGTGAAACTAGCTTGGGTTCCTTTGATGCTCATGATACACATTGTGCATGACTTGTTTGTAGTTTCAGGAAGAACAAAAGGAAAATCCTGTACTAGAATGAGGCTAACATGAAGTAAGCCATTTGTATTTTATTGAACTCCTATAGACAAAGAAAAAATCTGAAAGTCTTAATACTTAAGGACATCAGATTCAAATCATTCTCATTCAAATCTGATTCAGGTTAACAGTGATTAGAGTTCTTATTATGTAACAATTGGCTTGTTGTTAACTATAGTAAATGTGAAAATTAACTAGTCAATGATATTCAAAACATTGGAAGAAATAACAGCCTGTTTCATGCAACCAGTAAGTATTTTTATTAAAACAGGTTGCTGGTCTCAATGTAGTTCCCAGGCAGCCAAATGACTCACAACTGGCACTTATACACTTCTGGCCTGCCTGTCTCAACAGGGAGAAGAAGGATGGAGCTTGTCACTGAAAGACAATTATTCTTTGAACTAGTCCTTCAGGAATTGGGTTAAAGCATTATTGATACCCTGAGAATCCTCATGGCAGGAAATAAATGCACCCAGTGTTTGTCTCATCTGTGGCCTTTGCAAAATACTTAAACCTTTTGCTTAACCTTCGAAAACAGGGACAACATTCATAAACTTTACCAACTCTCCAATGTGCTGCAAGGTTTAATTATTTGAACGTGAATACTCTATGTCCAGCCTAATACAGCACACAAGCAGTCACTCTAATTCCAGTATTGTAGTAAATTCTGCTCCTCAGTTACACGTACGCATCCCCGCTGATTTCAGATACAAAGGTACGTGACTAAAGGAGAATTTGTTCCAGTATTTTTAAGCTGCTTTGAAGATGAAAAGAAAAATGTGCTACAAAAGTTAATTATTATTAATTAATGTAGGAAATATTTCTTGTAGAACAGCAATTCTCTTTCCCTGAAGCTTTTACAACTAATCATTGCACAGGTGGTGCTATCATTTTGTTAGCATCCAACTCCTACAGGATCCATACAGACTCAATTCTTCTTTAATCTTCACTTGGGATAAGAAAAAAGGTAACTAGAGGTAATGTATTGTGATAAAATCTAAAGTTTTAATCAGTACAAATAGGAAACAATTAATTTATTAATCAGAACAGCAAAGCACCTAAGGGTTTACTCATATTATGACTAAAGAAAATACACACACACTTGCAAATTAATAAAAAACAAGAAAATGAATGCAACTTGTTGATTCTATGGAAACTTTTTGTCTAGTTACATCTCATAATGAGGCTTTGGCAGCAGACAATAAAGGACACATTGGCAATTTACCGTTGTCCATGCTAACCAAGGTGCTGAGGGATCTCACAGCAGTCAGAGAGGCGATTATTGGAACAGAATTCAGTATTTATGACAGCTGAAATCTCTAAACTATTTTTATTTCCTTCTTGAAGAAGGAATTCTCTATGCTTTGTTGACTGAAAAGGTCACTTGCAATTCTGCGGCCTTCATAGTTCTCATACAAAAAAATTAACTTTACTCATGAAGAAAAGTATGTCTTAATATCCCATGTCATAGAATAAAAATTTTTACATTTCTTTTTATTTATGGTGCAGATATTTCAGAGTTATTTGGTTACTCACTCAACAAATTAAATTACATGGGGATCAAATGGGATCATGCTTAGTTTTGATAAATACGCCGCCTTTAAAAAATAAATCTGCACAAAAGAAACTCCATATACAAACTCTAAATAACTCTACTGAAAACCCAAAATTTTTATTACAACACTATTATTTAGAAGCCCATCTGTGAATACTGTGGCCCCAAATTCTCTCTCTTCTGAGTATCAGAAGCTACACAGAAAAATTCTGAGCACAATGCCATCAATGTCATCAGAATTTCTGTATCCCATTCCACACTTTTGCTACAAAGTCTGATGGATCAGTTCCCCTCTAGACCACTTGTTCTCACAAAAACACATAGCTTACACATGCAGTACAGGCAGTACAACAGTCTGATGCATGAAAAAATGGTTCCTCTGGTTTCCGTTCCCCCACATTGAGCCACCACTGGTGTTGTCTTCGTCACCTTTATGATTCTGCCTGCCAGAATTAATCTTTCTAACATACTTCAGGATGGCTAGAAAACATTTTGCCTTGATCTTTTTTTGTTTCGATTTTAAACAAGTATTATTTGTTTGCTTTCCTCCTTTAAGAAACTCTTACTCTGAAACAGTCTATATTTAAATTGCTTTTTGCCTATGTGTCATAGCTAAAATAAGATACTGACTTCTTATGAGACTCTAATTCTATATTTATGCAACAATGATTAAGCCTTTGAATATTTCCTTAGAACCGATGACCCAATAGGAGGGTGCAAAATAACAACATATCATGAATCTCCAGAAAGTGACCTGTACTGAAGTTATTTCTATTACAAATAAAATAAAAGAAAATCCCAAACAAAAGCAATTCAGTAAATGCAGTGAATTTTCAACTGACATGGGAAGAGATGCTTCAAAGAAGCAGTGCTTTGAAATTCAAATGGCTCAAATTTGCCAGATTTCTAGGTTCTTTGGGTAGCAAGGGTGCTCTGTCTGTCACGTAACAGCTTCTGGTGTCTAGTGGTCCAGCTGACACATTTTATGGGCCCCTGTGTCAAAGTGACCAGATCTACTCTTGTGAACCACACAGCCTACATGCACAGGGTCGATTTTGTAGCAATTGGTGTAAGCAGCAGACAGGATGAACTCTCTTCGTAGGCTGCATAACAATATTTAAATATCCCAAACTTAGGAAAAGGTCAGACAACTCAGCTGGATGGTTTTAAGGCTTTAGGAGTCTTGCTGACCTAGCTCACATCATCTCCAATCCTTTCAATAAAGCATTCACACACCTGCAATAAACACATTTTAAATTGTGCTGGGCTATCATTCTTAACACTGAAAAATTATTCATGTTTGATTACATAGCCAATGTAAGAGAGTTGGGAAACTGTTTCATCTCCTGGCTAACAATCAGAAAATCCTTGGGAGTGCTATCTAGCACACAGTGCACCCAACCGCAGGACAGTATGCCTTCAGACAGTATACCCTGGGTCTCATATCTGGGCTGTAAACTAGAGTATCACTCCAAGCCTCAACAGAGAAGCACTGAGGCTTTTTTTGCCTGTGCTGTCAATGATATTTATTTCTATTTGGATGCAGCGTGGAGAGCCCATACAGAGTGTTAAAATGGACGGCCTCAGTGTGGAAGGAATTTCCCAGCATGCCCCATTGACACCTCCTAATACACCAGATCCCCGGAGCCCACCACATCCTGACAACATTGCCCCAGGTAATACATGAGTTTAGAGACACTAAATATCTTTAGCTCTTGTTTCACAGCAGAGGAAGGACCTCTTTATAAAACAGTACCTTCAACAAGAATTTCTTAATGGATTTACTAGTGGAAATTGATAAATTTGAGTCAGATAACTAATCAGAATCTCCCAGAGAAATGTAAAGTGGTGATCTTCAGTTGCTTCTATCCATTTTTAAAGATTTGATATGCCTTTTGTATTACTTCTCCCTAAACTGAAAATATACATTAATATCAAGAGAGACTGCTCCCATATTTACTGGTCCTGCAAACACTGAAGAAACAGATACTCAGATTTAGAACAAGATTAATATAGCGATTTTTCTTTGCCAAACCTTTGTTTCTAATATGCAACATACTGCTCCACAGTCTGAAGGTTATCCATTGCAGTTTAATTACCCATAAATGTAAATCTGAAGTCACTGTAAGATTTGCTAGAAACCTTTACAGAGTAACTCAAAAAGAAATTTGCCTCTGGCATAAACTGTTCTTTTTAAAGTTTGTAACTGTGAGGGCACTGTTATCTTTATTTAAAGCAGTGAGCTACAGGAAGGCCTTATTTTGAATTCTTTAAAGACTAGAGAAGGCTAATTTGTTTTAATTAATTTATTCAGTGATATAGCCCTTCTTCCTGTTTATGAATTATCCATGAGCAGACTGTGGTTTTTACAAATTCACTCTTTGTTCAGAATTACTCAATGCATGTTTTGTGCAGACCTTTTCCAGCCTATGTAAACTAGGTCAATGCTACTCTGTTTGTGACTGCTAAGACTCTGTGCATCCATTGGTCAAATACAATGCAAACAGAGGTAATTTCCATTGCTAAGACATGATAGAAATCTTCAAGCCTTTCATTAGGCAAAAAAGATGTGGCAAAAGGAGCAGATATTAAATCAAAGGGATTTTTTTTAAGCTTATAGAAGGAAATAGCATTAAAGAGCTAGATATAGTGAGAGGGTAAAAGGGTAGATTTCCCTTGTTTTTCAAATAAATAGTATAACATATAATTGGATAATCACTTGCTGGTTTGAGTTCTTCAAATTGTACATTAAGATCTGGCTTCTCCCTGCCCCCTCTACTTATTCCTGCCATATAGTACTTAGCTTTAGAAGAAGTCGCACTGAATATGGAATTTATTTAGTAAAATTCTGATCAGAGCCTGATCCTCAGATGATTATGCAAGAAAACAACTGATTCTTCACTTTTTTATGATGAAAAGGACCAGAGAACCAAGTAGGTAGGACATTTTAAAGCATTTAAGGCAGAGGCAAAGACAAAAACTCCACTATAATAGCTGTGATCCTAACTCCTTTTAATAGTTTTGGAAAATATTACCTTAGTTTTAACCTCAAAGCTGTTTTTTAAACTATTTTTGTTATTTCAGACGAATACTGTGTAGATAGAGTCTAGTCTGTTTTCAAACAAATTATTATAATGATAGAAACACATTTATATAAAACTAAAATAAACTTAGCCACAAAAAAGAATAGAATACTTTGGAGCAGTTATCTAAAAGGCTACAATTTTCCCCTGACAGCTTTCTCTTTCTGTGTAGCTTTGGCCAGGTGACTTGATCTCATTGTTCATTTTACCTAATCATGAAATGATGGTATGTTACTTCCTAGTTACGTAGGATGGTGGTAAGGAAGCAGAAAGCACGAAGTAGTATTATTATTATGGTTTTGCCTTGATCACCTTGCAGGATATTCTGGACCATTGAAAGAAATTCCTCCTGAAAAGTTCAACACTACTTCTGTGCCAAAGTATTATCAGTCTCCCTGGATAGAAGCCATTAGGGATGATCCAGAGCTGCTGGAAGCTTTATATCCTAAACTTTTTAAACCTGAAGCAAAGCCAGAACTGCCTGACTACAGGAGCTTTAACAGGTAATTCTGAATGGACAATGAATTTTACAATGCAGAAAAAAATTACTAGGAAATGAAACATTTCCATCAGCTGTAAAAAACGTACCACCTGTGTTTGCAAGTATATACATAAGCATGAATATGCACACAGATAAAAGCTGCAAACCATAGCATTAAGGAGGAAACTAGTGTCTCTCTAAAGTATGGACCCAAAATTAAACTCTAGAACAAAGAATATAGGATGAATTGTTGAAAATATTGAAAGAAAGAAAGAACCAGAATCCAGTGTACTCAGTAAATGGGAAATATGGGATACAGCAATGCTTCAAGCTCGTTTCAGTATTTCTGCTGTTGACTTCAGTAGGTACAAGATTGTAAAATCTACCAGGGAAACTCTCAGTCAAAACTTTGCTTGTAAGCTGTATAATGCAAACCACTCTTTCTTACAATGAAATTTTATTCCTCAAACAATCCCTCACACCAAATAGTTAGAAGACTGCATATTTTATTGCATTTAACATTTTTTGTATCTTCAACAGCCTTTGAGAACAAATTAACAGATAAAACATTACAAGCAGACTTAAAAAACAGTTAAAGTGGAATGGGATCTGAGAGTGACATTATTTACACAGTAATTAGTATACTAAGGCTTTCAGTAGAACTTTTAGATATATGGACAATATTGGTTAAACTATTTTGAAAGTTTTAAACCACATTCTTACTTCCCTCTTTTGCTTTCATTCATACCATTCACATTATCTTTATTTATTGACATTATGGACAGTTTTTGTCTAAATAACCCCTGCTGAGTTCCAGAAAGTTGACCCAAACCAAAACCCTTCCCCAAAATGCCAGATAGCAGTCTACTGAAAAAGAACATGCTCATGGCAATATAAACTTAGAGAAAAATACAACAAACATCACTTGTGTTCCTGCTGTCGAGGTGGGCCTCAACTATGAGTGCAAGGACTTAAAAATTACACAATTCAGCATCAAAACTGGCACTGCAGACACTACGCTAATTCTGATTTCCTAACAGCAATATACATCGCCATGTTAATAATTAAGTCTGTGTGGCACACTCATCTCAGCAGACAAAATAGCAAATCCAAGTCAGAGAGATATGTCACAGCTGCTAACACTGGAACAGTAACAGCACAGTTTATGTACTATGGTTATTGCAACTTAAAAAGAAAATCCAACAACAAACCAACAAAAAAATGCCAAAGATACATATACATTGAATAGAGACAGAATCAGTTCTCCCTCTCACAAAAGAGATTCTGAGTCCAGCATGTGAGTTGTTATTGTGAAAGACAGGATCAGACAGAGCACAGAGGACTCATTAGTAGGGATATGTGTCTTGAGATGGTATCTGATGGCTGCTTTGTGGACTTTTAGCTGCTCTGTGGTCCCGTATTTTGTTAGTTGTCCTCTACAACACTGACTGTTCGGATTTCTTTCTATGGGGTTTTTCTCTGCATATGACATGGAAGAACTATTGGCTCACCACTGTCAGAATTTCTTGAACATACATGCATTCATATAAAGGAACAGTCAATAGTCTCCCTTGTAACTACCATAAATCCAGATCCAGACTGTGAAATTTGTGAATTCAAAACGCAAGGCCTACAAATATAATCCACCACAACATTCCTTCTCAAGAAAAAATCCACATCCAGAAGAAAGTAAAAGGATGCCTGGTGGACCTAGGAAAGTTGTAACATAGAGTACACTCAGATTTATGTTTTCTAGAAAGGAGTACATCCAAAAAAGTAATTGAGAATTTGCAGAATTGAAATTCAAGATACTATCCTCTTGTAGAGGATTTAATAGCCATAACTTAAGTGTCTACACTTCTAAAAAATGCACAGGAGAGTGGGGTGTCTGATTATGGGCTTCAAAACAGACAGCACACTGCATGCCAAGCTAAACAACATAAAACATTAGAGAGAAGGCTAAATGTGATTGAAATTTCTCTTTGCGAAGGGCATCAGCACCTAATTCTCTCTGCCTGTCTTGAGGTCAGGACTACATTAAGGTCTTCCTTTCCAAAAACAGATCATGGGTCACATGTAGTCTTTTAAAATTTGTATAGACAATAAGGTTAACTTCTTTGAAAAGAGCATTTTCCTACAATGTGGCCAGCCTGGATTTATTTCTTCTAGAATGTCAAACCCTGAGGAGAGGTGTGATAACTTGGTTTCTGGCTCTTCCATGGAAGATGTCGGAATACTCTTCCCTTATTAAGATCTGTGCCATTTTACAGAAAATTATAAACTTCTTTGGACTAGAGGGAGTAAGCATCTTTCTCTAGCTGAACAATTAAGAAACTTACTTGGGGAAAGAGAAACCTGAGCCTACACCTGAGTTCCCAGATATTTCAACGCACTTTCTTTAACTACCGCTTACAGTAAACTAAATAGATTTAGGAGAAGAAAACAGGACCTACACTTCTCTGCTACTAGCTGTGTGGCCTGATGTCTAGGCTAAGAGTCATACTCTGTCTAATCCAAGTGATTTTTTTATTTCTGGGTAGCATTTTTGCTGGAGTACTGTATGTGAGCAGTGAGGCTCACTCTTGCAAAGGGATGCCCTCAGACTGAAGGGAATACAAATCTCTTGGAGAACATCTCTGGTCACAGACACATTATTTGACACAAAGATTCAACACTAACAGCCACGGATTTTGAGTGAAAGTGCCTTGATGTGCAATTTTGCTCAAAGTTTGCCACAACAGCATATTATATGTGCTTAGGCACAATGTTATTAATTAGAGAATCATAGCTGAGCTTTGGTGTAATATAGGTGCAGCTGACAGTATAGCTAAGATAAAGGCAGATCTGAGTGTTTGTATAAGGAAAACACTAGGCATCTCAGGAACTTAGCAACCTATGGGCTTTGTGCGTAAAGTGAGATACCTTTTTGGACTTCTGTGTCCAGATCCTACTGAGTCATTCTGTGTATCTAGGTTACAGCACCCTTGACCTCTTTAATTGCAGTCTTGGACAGAGAGCAAATTATACTGTATTAAACAATTAGAGTATGATATAACGGCACCATTTTGTTATCAGTGAGGGTATCAATCAAGGCTTTCTATCATGCTTCATTACTCAATAAAGTGCCATTATGTTTTCCTGTAAAACACTGGTACAGTCATCATTAGTCAGGTGGGGTGTGGTTAACAGTGAGTGTGATGCATAGGACTCCCAAAGGAAACGGGACTGAGATTCTTCCCAGTTCGTTCAGTGATGTCTCTTAAAATGACACTCAGATTTTACAGGCCATAATTCAGGTTCCTTTCAGCTTTCTTTATTACACAACAAACTGTGAAAGCACCACAACTTTAGCAGCTAGGGACATCTGATGTGTTGGAACAGACGCACACATCCATGACTTAAAAATATATTCAGTACTAAACAGCATTCAGATTTTTATTTCCGCTGCCAGCAATGAAGAGGCAACTCTGGATCCTGTAGCAGTGCAATTTTTATATGTAGCAGAATCACAACAAAGAATTCATAGAGGTATTACATGGGGTCTCGTACGCATTTTATGCTGCAGGGATCTTGCAACACTGGCAGACCAATGAAGGAAGAAGTGGTGGCAGCAAATGTCAAGCACATTTGCCTTCTAAGGCATGGCTTTCTGTGAGACAGCCAGGAATGGTTTAACACCACACAGCACTAGACAGAGTGCATGGTCAGAGAAATTGGGTTCTGAGGATCCCTGAATAGATTGTTTAGACCAAGCTATCTTTCCTCCTCCTGGATGAAAATGAATCTGTGTCAGCAGAGAAGTGTTGCAGAACAGAGCCATGCCATCTGATTTCTCATGGAAATTAATTCTTATTAGGATTGAAGAACTATTTACTGGTGAAAATTTTTCTTGCCTCTTCTACCAGTATGGAAGCACTTAGTAATCATCTGTGGGAAAGTCAGTGTGAATCTGTATTTGTTGAGGAGTTTGTAATGTTAGTTAAACCAGTACCTTTATCCTATCTGCTTTCTTGGAGCTGGATAAAATGTCAAAGGTAAGATTATGAGTAACATATAAAGCACTACGTCTTACTCACATAAGACAAGCAAGTCTGACTAGTTCTGCCTCTCCTACCGGATAAATTCTTGCTCAGCTTTCTCAATTCCCAAAGACTACTGTTTCAAAACCACTACAGGAATCCAGTCCATCTGGACTGGGCTCTGTTTTTATTGATTAATTCATTCTGAACTCCACTGTAAAAATGCTGAGATCCAGAGCCTCAAAAGAATTTTGGGTGCTAACTTGAAGTCATGTGAGATTAGTGGAAGCCGGGTGTTTAGCCAGTTTCTTAGCACCTAAATATCTCTGTGAAACTGGCATTAGCTCTTACACTAAGCCACCATGAAGCTCTGGGCATTTTGCAGGTTCAGGTTCTTTGCTCCTGTGTCCCCTTTTTGCACAGAATAAGCAAAAAGCAGAATGTTCTAAGAATGACAGTGCCATTTTAAAATCTGAAATTCACATTTTTTATAATTACATAATTGAAGCTGCTAATCCAATACAGTCAAAACATTTCTTCAGACTTTCCCAAATAATCTACTACAGGCAGTCTCCTATGTTGAGACAATATAATGTTCAATAAGACTGTAGGAGAAAAAAAAAAAATTAGCCTTGCTAAAACAATAGCTAAAAATAAACGTGGGTGTGACTGATATTGTTAAATCATGCAGCTACTTTTTAGGAATATGCAAAGTGAATATTAAACAATTTCTTACACTTCCTGATGCCACCTCCTACAGCTCTGAACCAGCAATTCCACCCTTATTAAGAGCAGTGACTACTGGAATTTTTTACACATGAGTTTTAGGCTTCTATACAATGAATCAGACCTCAAGTGATACAGTGATGTGCACACAACACAGGTCATTGCAACACCATGTTGTCAGGCAAGCTATTGCTCACAAAACTGTACTGCTGCTGTAAAGGAAAATTAACATCTATTAGCCAATTACTGTACTCTCCTTTATGTCGATCATCATGTGATTCTGCCTCGCATGCAGGAATGCATAATCCTCTGAGGCCAGACTGTATAGGAACTACATGTGGTTTATTTCCCCAGAGAAGATATCTGTATCTCCATAAAATGCCCTCGGGTTTCTGTTACCTACACAAATATGCTGTATTTAAAACCCAAAAATACTGCAAAGAGGAAGTTCTACACTTCAGACTAATTTTGCATTTTATACAGCTATTATGTTCATATTGACTATCCCTTTAAATTAGATATTGATGAGAATTAAATATTACAACAATGTGAGAATGTATATCTTAATTAGAACAGCAATTAAAACAATCTTTATTATCCTGAAAGATGTAGATCACTACATTCACTCTGCAACAATTATCTAGCAATTATGTTTAATCAGTATCATACAGTATCCAATTTGACATTGTGACCTAGAAGACAGTTTCACAAGAAAAGCTTGATACCACAGGCACTTTGTATAAAGAATTTCCTTTGACCTCCAGAGAGTTTAATGTGCGGACTGGCTGTTGCTGCAAAATCTTGTCTTTTCTTAACTTGAAAAACAGTTTTAGAGCTTAATCCAAAGCAGCACTCTCCTCTCTGCATACACAGAACTTCCATGGGTTTTTATATTTTACAAGATGGATCCTTTGGAGTTAACACCATCCTCTCCAACAAATGCTGCTTGCACTGAATTTCAGTGAATTATCTGTGTAATGACACAACACTACCATTTCGTTTAGGTCACAGATTCATTTTTCTCAATTAATTTTGTGGGTGTGTGTATGTGTGTACTTAATTCTCCCTGGGTTCTGTTTTATCTATAGTTATATTGCTGAAAATCCTAGTCAGATCTTCAAATGATCTTTTAGTTCCTGCTGGTATTAATTTCTCTTGGCTTCTGTTATAACACCTGGAGCCACTGGAAATACATACCAGCAGATCTGTTGTTTTGTATTAAACACACAAAACTAGCAAGGCTGGTTAAATTCCATTTCAACAAAAATTAATTTTCACCTGCCGCTATGTATCTAGCTTTGCAGAAATCAGGTGCTCATGTGTAGCTTAAAAATCTGACACTCTTTAACTGACCAGAATATATCCCAGCACAGTTATGCAGTTAATCAAAATGCAGAGCACATAAAATAGTCTGTTTGGTCACATTTGCTTCTACAAAGGAATCTGGAAAAAGTGACAGAAAAAAACTCAAGGGTTTTTTTTCAGCCTAGAAATCTGCAAATACAGAAGAATCATGGGAGGTGTTTGGAAATACTGTTGTTTTAAAATATTTGCAAATGTATTTAACAGTCAGTTCCTGCTTAGTATTTCTTATCTTTTAGATTTTCAGGCTTATCATCTGAAGGAACATTTACATTTAAATAACATGAAAAATACTGGCTGAAGACTAAGGGCCAATTTCTGCCAGTGTTTCAGGTTCAGTTACATAAACATTTTCTTCAGAAACAAAGCTAGCATAAGAAGTCCTCACCCATTCCCCTCCTTTCCAGAGCCTGTTGTCTTTGGCTGCTCCTTTCTGCTTCACATTATGCTTTACTGCCTCCTCACTTGTATTGCTACAATTGTTCAAGTGTAATGATATAAACCAGATTGCTGAAATAATTTGGATTTTAAAATGCTCCTTTGTTTTGAAGGGTCTTTGTTTAACCCAGATCACGTAAGTGATCCAAGTTTATAGCACAACCCACATACATTCTAACTGGTACAACAATATGGTGCTGAAATATTGTGTAGTGAGAGGAACAAGCAACTGGGGATAGGAAAAAAATGGGGTGAGAACTTCCTAAACTAATTACCTGATAGAGAGAATGTGTTGAACCATGTTTTCAGACTTATCAACTCATCACCAACAAAGTGAGTTTAGTAACTGTGACTCACCAATGACAAGGTTTTCTTGCAACATCTTTTTCCCTTGGCTTTTCCGTTCATTTGAATTTTGAAGAAGGCTGAAGGCTTTATCTAAGGGAAAATAAATAGGATCTTAAAAGAGAATTTGCCAGAAAAACAATCAGAATACTTTTCCCAAAAGTTTGAAAAAGTAACCAATAAACTGTACCAAAACTATAATTAAAGTAGCTTCTGTTATTTTCAGCTCCTGGGAGGAAAAAAAAACCACAAACAGGTATTTTTAAAATCACATTCTACTTTTATTTCTCTAATATCTACAGAGTTGCCACTCCATTTGGTGGTTTTGAGAGAGCATCAAAGCTGGTTAAATTCAAAGTACCAGATTTTAATCTACTGATGCTAAACGACCCCAGATTCATGATCCTTGCAAACCCTCTTGCTACCAGAAGATCCTTCAATAGGACTCCTAAAGGATGGACGTCCGAGAATATTCCTGTAGTCTTCATTCAGCCAGCGGATTCCAACACTGTTCCAGAAACAGAGGATCTGTGAGAGAAGCTGCACTCTACATCGTACAAAATGCTGAAAGCTGCACATCCATGTATTTTTGGTCCAAATATTACTAAAGGCTACTGACAAAACTTTTCCTTGGCAGCTAGAGTATAAGTAATAATGTCTGATGCAGTGTCTCCTTTCTGGCACCTAGTTTCATCTGTAGACGTAATATAAATAAAGTAACTTGGCAAAGGTAACTATTTTCTGTTTGTGTTTACATGTTCTTCGTTTACTTTCTAAAATCTTTGTCATTTAAAAACAAATGTACTAAGGAAAAAAAAAAAAAAAGAGACACTACTATCAAGGGATTTGATTTGATATGTATGCTGATTATGTTAAGACAACCGAGCAGTATCACAACAGTGCACTTGGTGCACTCCAAGTACTGCCTGTTCAAGATAAGCTCTGAAAAATCAACCCTTTTTCCCAGCCCTACTTTCAGCCAAAATTAAGAATTTTGTCATTTTTGTCATTACTTCAGTGACTGCAAGTTTAGGCCATTTTCCTCCTTTCCTCAATTATGGATGTCAATATCCATGTCACCTGGGTTTGTTTACAGAAAATGCTGTAAATTTGGCAATGACAAAGACTACATAGTGGTATGAACAAGTACAGAAGTATTTCCTGGGTAAGTCTAGAATGTTTGTGTTAATCATAATTAAAAAACCCACCAATGACTGATTATGTCAAACATACCGAATTAGTATCTGAGCTATTTTACCACAAATGCTTTTGTTACCAGAAAGAAGTTTCATAGACCTTTTCCCCTACAGCCATAGTATATACCAGGACTGAAAAGCATGTGAGTTTTCTTGGTTTTGATACACTGGCAAGCTCTGACATTTTAGAAATACAGGTATCAGACTCTTATTAAGCATCCATAACTACACCACAGGGGGCAGGCAAAAATCAGTAAGAGGGTGCTGGTTTTCAGTGTCATTTTTCAGGCTACACCTACATTCTATTGAGGTGAGCATCTGTTTAATAATTGCTAGTTTCCAAATGTTTTCATGTTTGAGAAGTATCCAACATCTGCAGGTTGGATATTCTAATATACAGTTTAGTTTGTATATGTTTTGAAACAGGAAATCTATCTTCAACCAATAGGCCACTCTCATATACCCTCTATGCTTCGCCAGGGCATTATGGTCTCTAAATGTGCATGCAACATCCAAGAGGTTTCTAAGTTTTTCTTTCAATCTATTAATAAAATGTTGCAAGCTCAATGGTAACTTATTAATCTAATTTTATCTCGAAACTGACAGAAGATGATAATAGTAAAAAAATATTTTTTTCCAGATATTTTCCTTATTAATAGTTATGTTGGTGTTGAGCTACAAAAGTGAGTATTTCACAAAAAATCTCAACATCTGAAGAAAAAAATGGTAGAATTTAAATTTAAAGTGGAAAGATCAACAAAAAGTTTTGTCTATGTTCTTGTGGGTGAAATTTGTGTCTGTAAAAATGGTTTCCACATTTCAAATCTGGTTTCAAGGAAGGTAGTTGGCAAAGGAAATTCTGTCATCTATTTCTTTAATTTCTCACACAAACTGCACAAACAAATTTATGAAAGCAAAAAAAACCTCAACCTCATCGATGGAGAACACTTTCCTAGCAAGGGATTAGTTTGTGGGCCTTAACTGTGCACATTGTAGAACAATTGTACAAACAATGACAAAAATATGATTTTGTCAAGGCTAAAAATGCAAAGGCTAAAGAAAAAAACTATACTGAGGAACAATGCAAACAAGTTCTGGAGGAATTCGGGTTTTATGAACCCGCATAAGCATTCATAAGCCTAGTTGAACAGATATATGAGAAAAACGGTGCACAGCATATACACAGTGAGGACTGTGAAGAAGGGATACATCATTTTCATTGTACACTCTGTAAAAATAACCTATACATGCAGAGCATGCCACCTTGCTTCTTACAATACACACATTACGGTAACTTTAGCTTCCTACACATCTACAGATCAACAGGCGTTGAATGGGCTCAGGAGGCTTAAGATGTTTAAGAAGTACTGAGTCTGCTATGCATGTGTTCAGCTGATGGTTCAAGTAACAGCATTAGCTGTGGCTGGAAATTACCGATGGTCCTTAAGTCCTCAAACTCTGTCTGAAACTTTTGAAATGAGCTATGTCACAGCAAAACTGGTTCCTCCAATTCAACGCTCAGCTATGGTCATCATCTGCACCAAAAGAAACGAAATCTGTACCTCCTGCTTTCCTAGATCTACTACCATAGAGCTTTATATATACTATAAATCAGATGTGCCCAGATCGCCCTTTTTAAAACTGAGGTCAGCTGTCAGAGAAGAGTCTGCAGCCATACTATTTAATCTTCCCAAACCGGATGACTTTTGCTAAATTGCCTATCAGGAACAGGCCCTTGACTGTGCTAAACTCTTGAACCAGGCTTGGGACTGTTTGGGGGAGTGTTAATTGGCAGAAGCTAGGACTGCGCAATGTGCTAAGTATTCAGCAGCACAGAGGATCGAGTGCCAGTGTCCAGGAATGTTCCCTGGCTGCATCAGCCTAGCTGTAGCCTTATTGTGTAAGTCCTACTGCAATAAACAAATCTCTCTGCCAAAAAAACAATTCCTTTGCCACAAAGGAAGATCTCTTGTTAGGGTTGGGAATTCAGAGAATCTCTGTTAACTTCAACGTGCTTTAGCACCTGCATTTATTTTGTGAGACACTGTATACAGCACTTGAAACTTATCCTATAGCTAGAGGGAAGACTACTTTTGGGTAACTAATGATGAAGAACTTCAGAGATCAAGGTTTGTATTACTTTTTGTAGACAAAAAGATGGCTCTGAAGTGAGAGAATAAAGGTTTCTTTAGTTATAGGTTTGGAAAGATCAACAAATACATATTTTTAAATTTTCAGTGGTGCTTCTAAAAGCTTCTTTTAGCTGTCAGGAGTACAGCTGAAAGGACAGATAAAATTGAAAAACACAAGTGACAGATTTACATGAAAATAAACAATCAAAGGTATAGATATTTCAGAAAATGTGCTTATAACATCATGTGTACTTTATCACAAGACACTCATATTTGCTTCCAAAGGAGAAAGGGACCGAAGGGTAGGATGAAAAGGCAGAAACGTGGTAGGAGTAAATATATAGCTTAAAATTTCTAGAAGTCTTTGTTCCCAAAATTTCTTTGGCCTTTTTATCTACATTAAGGTACCCATTCCAGGAGTATAAAGGGAACTTAAAAATTAAATGTTTTCACTAAAAATGTGGTGAACTGAGGAAACAGAACTGCTATTTCCCAATCTATACAAAATACTCTGTGATTACTACAGTATGTAAAAAAGAAACAAAAAGAATATACAGGGTTTTCTAAAACATATACACCCTAAACGTGTTTTGACAGGAAAAGCCAGGGTTCATGGCCTGTACTGTCTGCACTGTTGATAATATACTGATATCAGCAATAATAGTCATCAGGAGGAGTTTGTATTTTAACCATATACAGTTATGGCCTGAAACTATGCTTATTGGTATCGTTTATGAAATTCCTATTTGACATACTTTGTTCAGACTCATAATAATTATATGTTCATATTTCACTTTATTTAGCTAAGCTAATAAACCAAATTACCCTGATATGTAAGTCCTTCACTGGCAGAACGGAAATAATTTCATAAGTACTACACAGTAGATGATCTAAAATCCATTCTTGAATCCAGCACGCCACTGACTGACACTGATTTCTGATAATGTGATATTTGCTTATGCCAGGTATAAGGTATGTTTGCATAAATGGGGTAATAAAACCCCCATATCGTCTCTTTCCCAATTTCAGCAAAAAAAATGCAGCTGATTTGTCTTCTGGCTGTTGTGTAATAAAGATTATGTATCAGTACCAGGAAATGAACAATTCATGTTGTTACTTCATTACTGTCTGGAAACATTTTGTTTATACCTAATCTTGTAATTTGGATGTATATATTTTTTTAAACTGCGTATTCCCTTCTTAGACGTCTTAAATATGTCAGCACGTCTGGGCTGCTTTCCCTCCCGCATAATCCATTCAACTGACAATTGTGGAAATAAATTATTATTCTATTGTCTCAAAGTAACTCTGTGTTTTAATTAATTTAATATGCAGTCTCAATCAGAAGTAGGAAAAACACACTGGAGATGGAATTCTGATCACAGTAAAATCAAACAAGGGTTTTGGCACTGACCTCTGTGAAGATAGAATTTAACCATTTATGGCATTTATTGCATCTCAAATGAGTATTTGTAATTGAAATTTATGCCATTACCGTGTTCAGCATCAGAATATTTTGGATTAGAGAGCTGAGCCTAACTACATATGTAGTTCGTTCTGAGGGTACATATGATGAAGTGCAAACAACGACTCAAAAATACTCTTGAGAAACTACATGGAACTGCAGGGAAAAAATGAGCATATATCTACTCAGATCTTTTAAAAATTCTTTTCAGACCAGCCATGAATAACCTGCACTCTGCTTCATCATTTCTTAGATGACCTTACTAACCAACACAAAATATTTTGGGCCATACCTAAGACAACAGGATAAAATATACTTCCTGAACAACAGTAAGACTGTGGACCATAAAATCCCATGTATATTAGATTAGAAATTCTCAGTATGGGGTCCATAAATTATTAGCAGTCTAGCCAGAAATATCAGAAGATCCCCACAGGGCTGACAAGTCATATAGTACTGACTCCTTCATTATTCCCAGAGGCTACATACTGTTCAAAACCAAATAAAATGCTCTAGATTATTTATAAATAATGTTTGCCACAGAACTGTTATGTAATTGGGTGTGAGAATATAGATGATTAAAAAATAGTTATAAAATGCAGTCAGCATACTGATACAGTTTAAGAAACAAAAACTGTATATAAAATACTCTTATTAAAATGAAATTAAAAAGCAACTGAAAGAGTAATATCCTTCCAAGGAAATAATACGTTATTTTAAACTGCCTTCAGGCTAAGTGTTCAGAGTAAGTAAAAACTACTACTGAGTTCTAACCCTTCTCTCCAAAAAAGTTAGCATGGTTTAAGAGTAGAATAGAGGAGGCTCAGAGAACAAAAGGACAAAGAAAACTTCTCTGCAAGGAAACAGTAATTAGAACATCTAAACACAAACAAAGGAAGTTATGACAGAGGTCTCCATGAATGGTATGGAGACTATGAG